GAGGAGGAGGATGAGCAGGAGGAGGAGGAGCAGCAGAAGGAGGAGGAGAGGATGGAGGAGGAGGAGGAGGAGGAGGAGGAGGAGGAGGAGGATGTGGAAGAAGACTAAGGAGAAGGGGAGCAGGAGGAAGTGGACATGCTCTGGCGGCGCAGGTCACTGGCAGCCTTGCCCTCTACGGCGGGCCGCGGGCCAGCAGCGAGCGACCGGCGGCCGCGGAGGAGGGCGAGCTGAGCCGCTTGCGGGCCGAGCTGGCCGAGGCTCGGCATCACTCAAACCTGCACGCCGGTCGCTGAAAGCAGGTTATTCTGGACTCCCGGAGCCCAATTTGCTTTAGACGCCTCCCTACTTCAAGGATCGGCAGGTTTCCCACTTCAGGCGCCTTCCTACTTCATGTTTCTACCCACTTCTTCCGACCTGCTGAAACCTTCTTCGTGTTTGACGAAGAAGCCGAGCTGGCCGAGGCTCGGCATCACTCAAACCTACTTTTAAGTCGGGCGTGTCCCTCTACAGGAGGAGTATTCAAAAATAGTCATAAAATTGTTAAGGGACGACCTTTAGGGTATTTGTGAGCATTGAACATTTATTGACAATTTGTTTTGCATCCAAAATCCGCCTGCAGAGGGACATGCCCGACCTTCTCCTACTCGTGACCGTTTTTTTATCCATTGTCTCGCCGATTGGCACGGGCCCTCGCACCCCCACCCCCTCCCCGCCCCCGTTAGGGGAGCGAAGAATGACATAAACAAATGAACTCGGAGGTCCGCGCGGATTTCTCGGATCCGCGCTGGGCCCCCCTGGCGGCGCCTCCAGCGCCGCCCCTGGCGCGCTCCGCGCGCCAGGGACGGGGGTCCAGCGCGGATCCAAGAAATCCGCGCGGACCTCCGAGTTTTTATGTTTAAATATTTGTTCGTTCCCCTACCCGTGGAGCAGATCTTCGCTGTCTTGGTCGCCTGTCTCGAGCAGGTGGGGGCTCCCGCATAGGGCGCACTGTTGCGAACAGTCGCACCAAGCAGAGGTCCGAAGCCAGACCCCCCCCCTCCGCCCAATGTCGAAACGCCGAATAAGAGAACGTCTACTAGCCTTGACCACCAGAGAGAATTTCGAGCACCAAGAAAGTTCCGAAGCTTGAGGGTTTTCACGTGTCGGGCCCTGGGAGGCGATACTCGTTCGACACTTCGCTAACGTGTCGGGCAGGCACTGGCTCGATGCTCCCCTGGGTGCTCGCAACCATCTCTGGGATTTGGTACCGGAGTACCCAAACGTGCTCTCGGCCTGCTCCCGTTCACTTCCCCCCCCGGCGAGCCGCCGAGAGGCTTGACCATGAGGACAACCCTGGAGGCCCCGCGCGGCACGCCATGGCTGTATCATCCGGTCCACGCGTCCGCCCCGTCGGGACATCAGGGACGGCGTGCTCGCGCGGCGAGGCTCTGACGCAGGCCTGACGAGCATACGGTGCAGAAGGCGACGAGCCCGACGTGAGACCGACTTGGATCCGACGCAAATCCCCCTCCTCCTCCTCCTCCTCCTCCTCGCTCCTCCTCCTCCTCGCTCCTCCTCCTCCTCGCTCCTCCTCCCCCTCCTCCCCCTCCCTCTCCTCCTCCTCCTCCTCCTCCTCCTCCTCCTCCTCCTCCTCCTCCTCCTCCGACCGTCTCAAGTTGCCGCGCGAGGTCAAACCTATCACTTGGCATCGCTCGGAGATGTTCACTTTTCCCTCGGCGAGGGCCATCGAGGAATATCCTTGACCGCCCCGCGTGGGGAATGGACGTCCAAGCGATGGCAAGATCAGAGCGAGGGTGCCCGAATGGCCGGCGGTGTGGGCCCACTTCTGCTCGGCGGGGGTCCTGGGCGAAAGTTTTCTTCGCCCCACGTCACCCCTCCCCCTCCTGCTCCTCCTCCTCCTCCCCGTCCTCCTCCTCCTCCTCCTCCTCCTCCTCCTCCTCCTCCTCCTCCCCGTCCTCCTCCTCCTCCTCCTCGCAGGACGGAGGGGAGCAGACAGAGCTGCTGTGGATGATGCGCTCATGACGTCGCACACGCAGAGGGCATCTGCACACCACCACCGTGCCAGGCCAGGGCCATCCTGGGCCCCAGGATGGTGTATAGACCCTCCTGGCCTCGGCCAGGATGGCGTGTACGCCATGCCAGGGCCAGGATAGCCGTGGCCTGGCACGGCAGTGGTGTGCAGATGCCCTCTGCGTGTGCGACGTCATGAGCACATCATCCACAGCAGCTCTGTCTGCTCCCTCCGTCCTGCGAGGAGGAGGAGGAGGAGGAGGAGGAGGAGGAGGAGGAGGAGAAGGAGGAGAGGGAGGGGGTGGAGGAGGAGGAGGAGGAGGAGCAGGAGGAGCAGGAGGAGGAGGAGGAGGAGGTGCAGCCCCTCGCCCAGGACGAGGGGCAGACAAAACTGCACTGGCCGCTCCCGGCCGCCTCCCCTCCGCATGCGCGGGGTGCTGCGGCGCACCGTGGCTCGTCGGGCCCCCCTTGGGGCGGCGTGCGCTCGCTCGGAAGTCTCGTATAGCGCTGTCCAGTGGCGGGCGCTCTCTGGCCATGCCGCTCCGGTAGCGATGTGTATTGCAACATAACTGATAGTAAGGTTGAGTCGGGCCTGTCCCTCTACAGGAGGAATCTTGAAAAATTGTCACAAACACAGTCCCGGACGATTTTTCGAGTATGTTTGACTCTTTTTGAGCATTGTTTGAGTATTCCTTATTGTTCGTCCAAAATCCGCCTGTGGGGGGGCATGCCCGACCCAATAGTATGAACGACTTCCCAGGGGCACCTTTTGCATCCTTGCCTCCTCGGTCCATCCTCCACCACTTTCGACTGGCGGCCAGACCTGCTCGAAGAGCCTCAGCATGGGCGTCCGAGGCCCCTGCATCCTTCTCGCGCATCCTTAGCACAGCCGGACCCGAGGTATAAGATCGAGGTCGGTTCGGGGAGGGCACCCAGGTGCCCATCCGTGCCTGCGGGATGCTCTCGTGCAGCCTGGGGAGGGTGCCCTCGGATGTTCTGCTCGTCTCGGCCGACGGAGGGCCTCACGTTCCTGAAGGATGCCCTTCTGGCCCGGGTCCGACTGCACCGCGCATCCGGGCTGGACCTGCACGCCGTCCTATTGGACTTCGGCCGTGTCTTGTTCCTCGTTTTGGGGAGGGAGGTGCAGGAACACAGGCGCGTGGGGCCACCCCGCACTTTCTCACCCAAAACCGACCGATACCCGCCTCCTGGCTCGCCTCCTGGCCCCTCTCATGGCCCCCCTCCTCGCCCCGGCGTCCCCCAATCATGCAACCTCTGTTCTTGGAGCCCCCCACCCCGCAGTTTCTCGCCCCAAACCGAACGAGACACAGAGCGAGAGCGCGAGGAGACACAGCGTCCAGCTCCAGCCCCGTCGCGCAGCCGTGCCTGCCGGCTTGGCCCGTGCTGCGCGTCCGGCTCGGCCGCGCGCCGCTCCCGACGAGGCGCGCGCGCGATGCCGGCGGGTCGCCCCCCCGCGTCCCTCCCGAGGCCCGGGCCGCGCTGGCCGCCGCGGGGCCGGGCGGCGGCGGCGGCGGCGCGGGGCCGTGCGGGGCGTAGCGTGCGCGTGCGCCCAGAGCTCCAGCGCCTCGGTCGAGGGGGGGGGGCAGGCCAGCCACAACTGGGGGAGCTGTGGTCCTTACCCCCCTGGGGGGACCCATCGATTTCGACACCACTCTCGAGGGATCGTCGATGCGATGCGTTCCCCCAGGGGGGTAAGGACCACAGCTCCCCCAGTTATGGCTGGTCGGGGGGGGGCGGAAGCGGGGGCCCAGACGTGATCGCGTCGTGGAGGGGAGTCGGGGCGGCCAGCTTCTCGCCATTCTCGGCCTCGGGGGGCCCTCGCCGGGCCCCCGGGGCCTTCGGAACACGACTCGGGACGAAAGGTCCCGGGGAAAGGGTTTGGACTTCGGGGGAGGCCGTCCTGAAAAAATCAGGGCGTCGCATGTCTGGGGGTATGCGGAAGTTCGGCGACGAGCGAGGGGGGGGGAAATGAGCGGGGAAAGGCCTTCTCAGAAGGCGGCGGGACTTCTCAGAGGCCATCGTGGGGGCAAAAAATGGGTATATGTGAAGTTCGGCGACGAGCAAGCGAGGGGGGGGGAAATGAGCGGGAAAAGACCTTCTCAGAAGAAGGCGGCGGCAGGGCTTCTCGGAAGCCCTCGCGCCTTCTGAGAAGTTTTGTTTGCGTGCTTTCGGGGAAGGCCCGGGGGACTTCTCAGAGAAGGCCGGGGAGCTGCCGAGCCTGCTGAGAGAAGGCCCGCCCCTTCTCGCTTCCCCCCTCCCCAGGCTCGCCGCCAAGAAACGGCGGGTACACAGCCCAGCGGCAGTTGTTTGTTCAGTCCGAACAGGATTCGCTGTCGGCGTGGAGGGTTTCTCCGGTGGGCTTAGGCGACCCGTCCTCCTCCTTCTCCTCTTCCTCCTCCTCCTCCTCCTCCTCCATCTCCTCCTCCTCCTCCTCCTCCTCCTCCTCCTCCTCCTCCTCCTCTTCCTCCTCCTCCTCCTCCCCCTGCTGCTCCTCCTCCTCCTCCTCCGTCTCCTCGGGTCGCCGTGCACGTCGGCGTCGCGGCAGTTGTTGCTGTTGCTCAGATGAGACAAGCTCGCCTGGCCAGCAGCGGCCGCTGTCGGCCTCGGACAACATGTTTGGGGCATCGTGCCCCAATTCTTTCCCCTCCCGTCGGTCGTTGAACGTACGTATATCTGGGTTCCCAGAGCGAAATCTGCTTCAGGCGCCTTCCTGCTTCAAGAAGCGGGCGTCTTTCCTTTTCCCTCCTCTCCAGTGGGCGGGCGGAAGCCCAATCTACTTCAACGCCTTCCTTCTTCATGGTTCTACCAACTTCTTCCGACCGACGGGTGCCTGTTTTGGGCTTCCAAAGACTTCACGCGGATGTGTTTCACAATTCTCGACCCCTGGGGGCCCTCGATGGTCCCCGGGAGCACCCGAAGGCGACTCGGGATGCACCGCTGGCCCTGGTCGGATTCGGGGTAACGGGTCCTTGGCAAAGGGGTTCTCAAACATGTGCGCAATAGTTCGTGCAATCCTTCGTGCGGGATACTCGTCGGTCGTTTGAATTAGGTATTTGGGGATTTTCGGATCCCAAACTACTTCAGGCGCCTTCATGTTTCAAAAGTTGAGCGGTTGTCCCTATTTCCTCCTCTTCAGGGGACGGGCGGAAGCCCAATCTATTTCCTTCCTACTTCACGGTTCTACCAACTTCTTCCGACCGACGGATGCGTACGTCGTGCAATGCGCGTGGCTGCCACTCGCGATGCGCCACAGGATGAGCTTCGGCATTTTTTTCTGCGACCCCATTACGAAAGGCCCCCTTTGCCCGGAACCAACTTGGGGCAAGGGTCGGAACTTTTGGTGGGGGATGGGGCGTGTTGATAAACTCAAGACGTCGCAGGCCTGGGTTTGGTCGGAGGGCACAAAAGGGTACCCGTGCCGGTGCCCTTTCCCCTCGTTCTCGACCCCGCTGGGGTTGTGGACGACGACGATCAATGGAGGAGGCGTGTTGCCGAATAAGTTCCAGATGTCTTAAACATGTTTCAATTCTGTCTTAAACCTGTAAAGCCAGATTCAAAACATTGTTACACAACTCCTCCTGAAATTTCAATATCAACACACTTTTAGTTCAATGGTAGGACTGTCAGGGTGTCTATTGTCATGACATCCACAACTCTAGGGCCTCTCTTGGGAGGGCCCTCGTCGCCACCTCCAGACACGCCGACATGCCTCGAGATCTTGGGGCCAGGACGCCCCCCAACCCGGGGAGCAGCAGTACAGTGGAGACCCATGCCAAGAAACACCCTGCTCGCCTCCAGGGTGCCCTGGGTTTCTTGGGTTTCGATGGCTTTGCTATGGAAAGCGTGACGCTCCCACCCAAAATCCATGGACGTCCTGGGGTCTCAGGGTTGGGTTTCTTGTGGAAGGTTCCTTGTAGACTGGCCCCCACTGTACCCGAGCCGCTGCCCTTCCCCCTCGTTCTCGACCCCTCTGGGGCCTCTCCTGGGAGGGCCCTCGTCGCCACCTCCAGACTTGCTTCGAGGTCCTGGGGCCAGGACGCCCCCCGGTCCGGGGAGCAGCGGTAGATGGTACAGCGGAGGCCCGACCACAAGAAACCTTCCACGAGAAACCCAACCCTGAGACCCCAGGACGTCCATTGACTTTCGATGTGGGAACGTCACGTTTTCCATGGCAAAACCATCGAAGCCCAAGAAACCCAGGGTCCTCTGGAGGCGAGCAGGGTGTTTCTTGGCACGGGCCCCCACTGTATCTCTTACTTCCCCAGCAGCGGCACGCTGGGCGGCGCCAGCCGCGTGCTTCGGCAGCAAGTCATGCGAGCCTTGTCTACCCTTATCAGAGAAACTATGGATTCAGTTTGTGTCGGGGTTTCGGTTTTCTGCTATGCCTGGCGGCCCATAGGGGCCAGACGGATCGCGAGGAGGCGGATGAGGAGGAGGAGGAGGAGGAGGAGGAGGAGGAGGAGGAG